CCAGCCAGAGGAGCCCCAGCCTGAACCTGGCTTGGGGGAGGCAGGATGAGTTTGACACTCCTGCCCTAAACTAACTTAAATCCATAAAACCTTGTAAATTTTATAGCCTTAATACCGCCCAGTTATCTTTCCTGCCTGGTGCAGGGGGCTGGACCCGATGATCTTCCAAGGTCCCTTCTGGCCTTACAATCTATGAATCTTAATGTTGTTATAATACTCTGTATATTTGTAAAAAAAAAGTAAAACACAAAATACTATATTCAATAGAACTCATCAAAATCTATCATTTCACTCTGATATTGTAACCCTGATACTGTTTTATAAGACACTTAGTTCAGATGCAATTTCAATAGAATTCAGAAAACTTTCTACTGAGGCTGTGTGTTTTATAATTTGTATTTTATAGCCTGCAAAGGTGGAGTATGAGAAAACTGGTGCATCAGTGATCACATCAGGATATTCCGTGTTACTTGAGTTTCTTCCAACCATGGGCAGTGTCTATTTATTGCAGGAAAAAGGCCCATGAGACAATCACACCTGGAGCCCAAAGTTAACAGGTATTTCCTTGGATTCTTTATGGAAAGGCTGTAAAAACAATCTACTAGCTCCAAAAACCATGGTAGCACACCCAAAGCTCCTGTTGGCAGTATACCTCAGATGTGGCACATAAGCAAAGCGCCAGACTAGATTGTTATCCTTTAAATGTATTCAGAGTACTAGGTCAGGATTCCAGTACGGCAGTCAGTGTAACACAGTGTTTTAACACTCGGTGCCAGGCTGATTGTAAACAGTGACTAAACAATCATCACGATGTGCTTTTATACAACTAAAACAGGTCCTGTAACTTCTCAAAAATAAGTTACTGTGTAAAAAGGCTGTTTGCTTAGACAGATTAGCAAAGGTAATTCTAGGAAAACTACCCAGATTAAAAGAAGCTTCCAGGTTCCTTTTCACAAGTACAGATTTTCTTTCCCCTTTCTGTTAGTTTCTCTCCCTTTCCACTTCATTTGAAGTATCTTATGGCTACTGCTGTTCATATTCTGCCTTGTTTCATGCTTCCCTGCACTTTCTTTCATACCTCCTCTCACCTTCCTTGTTTTCCACTGCTGGCAAAGTCCATTTTAGATAAATTTATTTTGCCTTCCAGCCAGTGCAGTGATACAACTAGTCCGAGTGTTTCCTGATGAGCCTCCAGATAACCAGTGCTCCCCACCATTCTCTTTACCAACAACCACAGAGCTTCTTTTCAAATAACAATGTAGCCAATGCTCAAAATTCAGAGAAACTATAGTTCAGGGAACCCAGGCTATAGGTGACTGAGCAGCACCTCTCTAGGACATTATTTAGAGCAGTGGTTTTCAATCTGTGGTCCACAGACCCCTGGAGAGCCACAGACTATGTTTAAGGGGTCCGTGAAAGATGACTATGATCAACCCAAAGTATGCGAGTCCCCACATTTACAATTCAAACGGGTCTATACCTCCATTCACAATTTTTAGAGGCCTGCAAATGAAAAAAAAGTTGAAAACCACCAATTTAAAGAAATCCTTTTTGCTGGGACAGGAAGACAACTGGTGCAAAACTCCTTGAAACCTCTGTAGCCCACAATTTTATGTAACTCTACTTTTAACACAGTACATATTAGAATAATACAAGAATGGAACTTGCCCTATGATTGTAATGTGCACTTGAAAAGTCTTATTCCTACAGGTACATACGAAAATTGTAAAATAAAATAACTTCTTCATCTGGATTAGTCTCTTTTCTTGGCTGAATTGCTTCGAGTATAAATAACTCTAATTTTCCACTGGTAATGTTTTGCCTTGTGGAAAAACGCTCAAATTACTTTTTATAAACCAAAAGTTTTCCTATACTGGCAGACGGGAAAAAAATATGAAAAACAAAATGTAATTTCATCTTCCGTTCCAAAGTGAATATAGTGCTTCTGATAGTCCTATATCATCTTTAAGATGAGCTTTACTTTACCTGCTGCGTCCCTAGAAACCATAGTAAAGAAATAACACATGAATGACTGTATACAAGGGCTAGGTAAGCTAGATTCAAATTTTGTAGCTACTGATTTTTTTCCAACAAAGTCTGAGATACTACAACGTTAGGGGAAAAACCCAAGAGTGGACAGTGTATAACTCCAGTTCATAGGCGAATGGCAGGAGGGGGATGTGCCCCCCCATGCCCCTGATTGTTCAAGGGGCCAGATGGCCATGCCCCTTGCTGCTGATTGGTTGAGGGCTTAGCATCCTACAACTCCACCCCTTGGTGCTGATTGGTTGCGAGAGCTGTCCATCATGTAGCCCTACTCCTCTCTACCAATTGGTGGGTGGGGCCACATGACAGGCAGCCCTCTCAGCCAATCAGTGGCAAGGGTGGGGGTTGCAGCCATCTTGAGCTCTTCTTTGTGCTGCAGTGCTGTGAGGACTCCTGGCTCCCTCTGAGCAGTCAGCATTTTATTTTCAGTAAGTTATCTTTTTTTGTGCATTCATGGACATTACCTGCTTTTGTGGACAATGCCAGATTCCATGATTTCTGCAAAATAGTAATTTCAGTAGGTCCCGATGCATAAAAAGTGCATGACGTTTGTAAAGCAAAGTTTAACTCAATGACATTAAAAAAAATACATGTTCTAATTTCCATGATTAGTCTCCTAAAAAAAGATGAAGCTAAATATATCAGAATTTGCTGGCTTGGCTTCTGCAAACTAGATCTGAATTCCACAGTTTTCTTTCTTTTCTGCTTCTCTGGGAGATGCATTAACTTTGTACCCAAATCAAGGTAGTACCAATGTTTAACTTTCTATCTTATGGGCATGGCACTTCCCATATTGCAAGAAGAGAAATACACATTCTTTTAATAGCTATTCATTTAAGTATGTGTGCAAATTAATCTAACAGAGATAGAAAACTGTGAAGTATCCTCCTAAACCACTGGCTCTGTCAGTTACAATCGCTATAAAAACTTTGAAGAAAAGGGTTCAAATGTGAATTTGGCTGCATGAGCTTTTCATACTTGTTGTCAAAGCTGTTTCACTACAAACTTATCATGCCTGGTTTATCAGAACACATACGAGTTATTCTGGTTTGCGCACACACTTCCACAGGATTATTTGCAAGTATTTTATTTGCATCTATAAATAAGTTTTAAAATACACATTTTACATTATTCTACCAGGACATAGTTTGTATCTCCCCATCTGCGTTTGAAATCTTTTCATCTAGAAAATGGATCTTTTAATTTCTACTTTTCAACAAGACGTAAACCAAATGTATCTTTTAAAGAAAGATAAATACCCAGTTCACACATTGCACCAGGAGTTTACTTTACCTTAACATGCTAGAAACACATTTAATAATAATGATTTAAATACCGAGACACAAACCTGGATATGAACCTAAACTGGCAATTTAAAAACAATGCAGCTTATGGGCACACTTAATTTCTGTATTTTGGATGCTGATATCTCACAAAAATTACATTGAGACTTCATGTGGATTTAAGAATTGGTATACTGAGGTCCTTAAATGTAAATAAATATCAAGGGACCAGATTTACTTAAAACCTAAATAGTCAAGTTTTAGGATCACTATGGATTGAAAACTTTATCGCAAGGCTGAGTCGTTTATTGCACAAAGCCACATTCACTGAAAAACTGAGCTATCAACTTCACAATAGGGCATGGAATAGAGCAAGATCCTGTCATGCCTAATAGATTTTGTGAAGCATGAAAGTAAAAGGCTACATGACATCAACTAACTCAAGAAGGTCTCTCTCCCAAAGTAACCTTGCTTCTTGATATGCGTTATTGTTTTTTATGAAAAACACAAAATGAAGATAATGTCACTGAAGAGTATTGATTCATGTCATTCTACTGATTACCCGAATGGTTCCTAAGCTCACTTAAGCAGACTCGTAATTTAGCAAAAATCATACTGTAACAAACAACACATCAATTAATTTTTTTGTTAATTACCTTTTTGTGTCAAAGCAGCCACAAGCTACAATTCTGGAGTTTAAATATCTATCTTCTTACTTACATATCATTGAGTGGTTTGTTGAAACTGCTCAATGTTACCACTTACAAAACATACGTTAAGCATGTGTTTTGTTTTGTTTTACAAGTATCTGCCAGTTGACTGCACTAGAAATAGTAATAGGGCACGCTTGGCAAGAAAATACATTAACCTTAATGATTCAAAGGAACATCAAAGAAACAGAGACCTGTACCAAATAACTAGAATAAATAGTTAAAAATAATTGTTTCACACTGAATTCAGTGAAAATGTGTTAAAACACCCCAGCCCTCAAAATGCCACTATATCTGTAGCTGATGTGGTCTTCAATTTCTCTTTAGCCACCTATGACTTAAAGGAATCCATACTAGTGAAGGTTTAACAATGCGTTTTCCATAATTTTCCCATATAATGTGATACAAGGTTATTATAGACCATAATTTGTATTTAGTTTCAACAGTTTATACAAATCCTGCTCCTTCTTTTCTCCAGATGAAAAATATGAGCTCTTTTCCCTCACAGTTCTGTGCCCTGGGCTTTTCTTCATTTGCCTTTTTGAGTATCACATTTTCTTAAGTGATCCTAGGCATACATGATGATTACCAGCCATGGCTAAGCTGCTGCTGTCACTGTCTCAAGTTTAGTGAAGGAGTGAGAGAGAGGACTATGTATGTGTGCTGGCACAGAAAACGAAATGTCCTCATTTTGCACATATGCACTAGTTCAGAAGCATAATAGTGGATTGTTAGAATAAAAGGCTAAAGAACATGGTAAAACATGCAGCTGTTATAGGAGCAAAACAAAGATTAGGAGAGGCAAAAAAAAGTCTAGCTTTTGCCAATAAAAATGTGGGTGTACGTCTTAAAACATGGCATGAATAACTATTTCTAACATGTTAAGGCACTTCTTACATGGCTGATTTCACAGTGTCTGGGATCTAGAGATAAACAAATCATATAGTTCTTTTAAAGTTACCTTCTAAATTCATGCCAGCTTGCAGACATTTCCGGTAGCGGCATGCAGGACAGTTTTTTCTCCGGATTTTGTCAATGATACAATCATTTCTTCCAGCACACAGGTAATTGTGTTGTCCTGCATTTACAAAAGAGGCAAAAAACCAAAAAAAGGATATAGTTAACATAGTAGATAACTTTAATTCATTCTGGTTTTAGGGTAAGGGATTAAGAGACTTGCAATGTCCTGAATTACCATTCTTCATTTTTTGTTACACTAATATTGCATCCATATAATTACTGCTCATCTACACCCCACATATGTTCTTTACAGATTATTCTAAGAACTTACATCAAAAAATGTACAAGAAATTCTTTTTCTTAATGGCAACCTTGGATAGGTGTTGTTTTTAACCTATGTTTTTCTTAATTTTTTGTGTCATTACTAAATTTTTCACCATGTTAAAAGTGCTTATTAAATAGATATGGCAATTTGTAAAAATCAGAATTGTCAGAGGATAGTAAGAAATGTTGGGGGCAAAAGCAAAACAGCAAACAGTCTGAATGTCCTTCCTTTCATGGAAAAAATGATAAATTAAAGTAAAAAAGAAAATATAAGCCTTTAAAATACTAGTAAACAATGTTTTTGGTCTGGACAGATATAACAACTATATCTGTATCCAAGTGTACCAGTGTAAGCTGTTACAATGTCTGCATGATTCTGTAGTAATACAAATGTAGCAAAACTACTACAACTTGAACCCTTCTTCATTCAGGGTCAACATTAGGCTGATTTAGCTAATTTGTATTGCTTTAGGACCATGGAGATGTAACAGTTAGATCATAAAAGCTGATGCACACTACTGAGAAGCAGGTCCCCCCTTCCATTTTGAAACAGCTAAAATGTACTACGTAGTCCATATCGTGTGAAGCAAAAGCATGTAAGCTCTACATTTCTGAGGTTAAAAGAAACCAGATAACAGCAGAGCCAACTGCTAGAAAGCCCAGTTTGAGACAGTTGTTTCTGAAAGTCTTCTTGGGGATATACTGATTTTGCCACTTTAAAAACAGGGAGGAAAACATCTTAGTTTTTGGAATCTGTAAAGTGGACAGACTAAATCCTTTGGTATTTTTATGGATCTATGGATCCAAAGCTAAGATGACCTTGGAAGCATAGCAAATTGAACTACATAAATTAAAGAGCTGTTTTTCTTCATGCCATTTCTCAGTAGTTAGTTTTTAGTTCACTTTTTTCACTCTATTCCTGCCCCTCCCATAATAGTGAATAATGAATCTTAACTGTCTGAACTAGTTTGTAAAGAGATGTTTTTTCTGTTAAGAACTAAGTATTATTAGGAAAGGACAGCTTGTTCTCAGCAAGAAAACCAAACAGAAGCCAGGTGTCTCTTCAGGCGATACTTTTCTGACACAGGTTGATGGCAGAAGTAGGTAACAGAAGTAAGAGCCTGTAAGGTGCCCTTTAGCTCTGGCCCAGTACAGAAGCACAGCCCTCCTTTGTAGCAAGCAATGTTATCTGCGTTCTGGTTCCAGTTCCAGTTCACCCCCTGCCCACAAACGTCTCCATCACCCAGCTCCTGACTCTGTGCTCTGGGTTAGTAACTGCTAACTGCATACCTGGGCTTCTGTAACAGGGCTGTCTTTTCCCTCTTAAAGGAACAGACTACCCTGTTACAGGGGGAAAATAATTTTAAATTCTAGAGGCTTACCTATAACACTTAAAAATGTAACATTTCTTGCTATATTATGTCATATAATCAGCCATAAAATAGGCAAATAATATTCCAATGTGTTTATTAACATAAACATTGGTTCACAAACATTCTTTGCAGCTTTCTTCAAGAACAAATCAGAAAGTTAACAAAAATGCACATACTTGTTTAACTGGTTGCTATGATATGTATGCTGATTCTATACCCAAGTTTCTAGGAGAAAGATGGTTCACTTATCAAAGGGAGTCTGAAAAATTCCTAGCGTAGAAATGTTTTCAACTTTTGTATTTGAGCTGTCAAAACTACTTGATCAATAGCAGAAAAAAAAAAAAAAAAAGCCTCATTAAGAGAGTTAGGTGAGGTCAGCTTTTATAGATGGCTCTGCAGCTGGGGTTCAAAGTCTGTTAAGGCAACTGAGAGCTGCCACTAAAATCAGCACTGCACTCTTCGATTGTCCTTGTATTTTTTCCTGTTACACTTCAAAGGCTGGTTCAACTTGCCACATATTCTGCACTGTTTTCTATGCTGTTGGTCAGAAACAAGGACTACCCGTTAAATTTTCTGCTATGACTTACCGCAGCTTTCAACTATAAGAAACCTGGGAACTGATTTACCTGACTGCCCCATGAGCTTCTGTGAAGATAATTTGTATCCCGTTGTTTTCTAAGGGTAAAGGTGTTAGGATATATATATATTTTTTACTTGCAATGCTGTTGTCCCATGTTAGCACTGCTTGTAAAAAACAGATGGTAGCCAATGAATTTGATTCACCTCAGAAATAGCAACCTAATACTTCAAGAGTGAGACTGACAAATCTGATTTAGGGTGTGACAATTACAATGCTTAAAAAAGCCCCAAACTTCTCTGGCATTTGCAATTTACCCACACACTTCTGGTTTTGAGACACTCTCCAAAGAATCAGACAGAGGAGCCTACAACTGGGTATGCTATGCAATAACTTGTTCTGGCAACCCCAACATTGTATTTTATTTTTGTGGCCTTACACATTGCAGGCTTAGTGATCATTTTTGCTACCTGCTACCGATTCAGTCTTTCTTTGGGGGCATTGCTACGCCTTCCTGATATTAGACTAGTCTAATGACAATCCAAAGTCATTTATCACAAAGCTGTTATCCAATTATCTCTACATGTACATAATTATATACATAAAATATACATTTATACAGTACAGAAACAGAATTACTATTATTATTATTTACAACAAATACTGGAAAATTGCTTTTACATTGATATATGATTATTTAAGATATACTTAGGATATAATGGATAGAAAATTATTGACCGTACCATATTACTTTATCTTAGAACCTTAAAGAGTTTTAGCCATCTCTCCCCCCCATACAACACACAGCGCCCCCCATCTGCACATAAATTACACGAATAAACAACACAACCCAAAAGAAAGAAAAGCAAAGAAAAACAAACGAAACGAAGCCAAGATAACAATAAACCCTTTCACACTGCAAGTGAATGGGTGCATTATGTAAATGTAAATGTAATCCATGCCTTAGGTAATCACACCACTATCAATTTTATTTACTACAAAAAAGAAAGTCTAGAGATACAGTTCTTGGGGGTTTCCTACTGAATTCTACAGAGCAACAGGAGTCCCGGGAGATGTATCAAATTGTTCTCAACTAGATCACCCATGTATACAAAATCTGTAATCCCTAATAAATGATACATTCTTCAAAACATATCCTACCTTCTACAGCTCTTTTGAAGAACACTTTGCAGCTGCCACAAGTTAGAACACCATAATGACACCCAGAAGCCTCATCAGAGCAAACAAGACACAGCTTGGGAGGTGGTCCTGTAGTTGCTGAGGTGGTGGACGGAGAAGAGCTTACATCAGATCTCATACCAGGGCT